CTTTTTTGGTTACTACATGATTCCATATGTGTTATTTCATAGTTTTGATGTCTTCACTATTATTATACAATGTAGAAAATAGTCAAAATAAAGAAAAACCCTGGAATGAGTAGGTGTGTCCAAACTTTTGACTGGTACTGTACGCACTCGCACACCAATTTAAGACCTGTACTTGGCACAGCTTTGACACATACACAAACATGATGCTAGCCTAATTAAATTAGCTCTCACCGCTACGCTAGCACTCTCCACTGCTAAGGACAGACCTCTGCAATGTCATGCTAAGGATATAGTTACTGTAGGCTATACTACACCTCTGCAGCAAACCAACCTATAGAGCTGCAGTACACTCATGTCATGGAGCCAGATAAATGTACGTGAGGAGTGGTGGCAGACATGGGCCTTTTTGAGGTTAAACATCATGGCTTTTCCAGCCAAGAAGATGTGTCTATCCAAAATCGATGATCCAAGATTAGAAATTTAAAATATATATAATCACTTGTTGTTTTGCCAAGTTAAGTTTGACAGTAGTTTACAACAAAGTACAGCTGCCTTTCTGTGTTCCACTCCTTCATGTTGGACAACAGTGGCACTGGGTAGCTTAGAGGTGAGCTGAGATGAGTAGCCCCACAACTCTGTGTTCAATCAAAGATGGACACACTCTTCCTCTGTAGCGTTCTATCCTCTGTCAGCCAGGCCTTTGACTCTTACTATATCTGAAGTGCGCTCTCTCTCTCGCGCTATATCTCTGTCTCTCTGTCGCTCTCTGTACAAATGGAGAATATCTTTTAATGATGTACTTCAGTAAAGCTAGTCCACTGACCTCATCTCACTCCCTCTACTCCTCTCGCTCCCTCTACTCCTCTCGCTCCCTCTACTCCTCCCTCTACTCCTCCCTCTACTCCTTCCTCTACTCCTCCCTCTACTCCTCTCGCTCCCTCTACTCCTCCCTCTACTCCTCTCACTCCCTCTACTCCTCTCGCTCCCTATACTCCTCTCTCTTTCTTTCTCTCTCTCTGTTTGTACAAAGAGTACTACAGAGAGATAATGTATTTTAATGATGTACTTCAGGTATGCTAGTTAACTGCCCCAGACCCACTCCCCTCCATCCCCCTCCCAACTCCATCACTAAACCTGGCAGTAGAGAAGCTGTTCAGTCCCCTCTCCCTCACTGTCGTTCTGTTCAGTCCCCTCTCCCTCACTGTCGTTCTGTTCAGTCCCCTCTCCCTCACTGTCGTTCTGTTCAGTCCCCTCTCCCTCACTGTCATTCTGTTCAGTCCCCTCTCCCGCACTGTCGTTCTGTTCAGTCCCCTCACCCTCACTGTCGTTCTGTTCAGTCCCCTCTCCCTTACTGTTGTTCTGTTCAGTCCCCTCTCCCTCCCACAGTCAGCCTGAAGAGACATACAGTACATAACTCTTCCTGGATCTAATAACCTCACTGTCTGATGGATGCCTATGGTAAAGAGATCTGGCTGTTATCATTGGATGAGGGTGGAGGGGTTATGCGTTTGGGTTGGGTGAGGTATATGGTGATGGTATGGGAGGCGGAGAGGGTGAGGAGGGGATTTGGAAAGTGTTCAGTTGGGGAGAGAGGGTCTTCAGGGTGGTTGGTTATATAAGGGGAGCTAGGGGTGTGTGTAGGGAGAGGGAATCTGCTGGTAGAGCAAAGCTTTGACATTCCTCACACTCACTGCTGAAGAGCACTGGGCAAACTCCCCTGTGTGATGTGTGGACAGTGTGTGCGTCTAACTAGAGTAAGTGCACAATGCATCTCATCAGGAGAGCATGTTTGCTGCCTTTCCATCTCTCTGCTGACAGATGCCTCTCCTGTGATTAGATCTGCTGCTTTGTTGTCTTTGTGAAGCATCGCCTCAAGGCCAACTCCCACTACATGGTAATTCTGCTCATTAGGGTAGGCTGTTATTAAGAGCCTTCTGCGACTGCTGTCCACGGGGGTCTTTTCTGTTTTTTTAAATAATATTGCCTTTTTCCTTTAATTTTTTTACATTCCAAAAACAAACTTCTACATACGAACAACAACTTACAGACACACACAAACAATGGCTACATCTCATCTGCCCAGACCCGCATTATGGTTTGCCACTTGGCCTTAAATTGTACCAATTTTGTTTTTCTCAGTCGCCCATGCTATTTCAATATTTCAATAATAAATCATTAATTTTTCCATTGTGTCAATGATGGCGGATTGATTGACTTCCAAATATATGTATTTTCAAGATGAGTGATGAGAAAAGGGGGTCTTTCTAGCTGACGCAGACATGTATGTAGAATGTTAGGAACTAAATATTGTTAAGCGTAATTGAGAATACATAAAGTTATAAACTAAATAGTTAGGAAGTAAATTAGGAACTAAGTATTGTTAAGCATAATTGAGAATACATAGTCTGAAACCCAACTGCCAGCGGACGGTGTGGTAGAAGGATGTAGTTTGTGGCTATTGAAACCCCCCAGTCAGCACACACACTGGTTAGTCACTGTAATGATTAAGATGTCCCTGCAGCAGAACGGTTGGCTGCTGGAGTCGCCGTGCACACACAGCAGATAACACCGCTCTGAGAACTCTTATCACACACACACACACTCCTTTTAGCATCCCTCAAGCATCCCTCTCTCCATACCTCTGTCATCCCTTTATTCTTCTCTCTCCCCAGTCCTCTGTTCCTCTCACTGGACACAGCAAATAACAAAGCCCAGATAAGTCACGCAAACTCTTCTACCATCCCCTGATTTCTCTGTCTGTCTCTCTGTCTCTGTCTCGCTCTCCTGTGTGTGTGTGTGTGTAAAAACCATGACTGCTGCCGTTTCATCTGTTTCCCCACCACAACATACTTCTTCTTAGGCAACTGATAATATCTGGGTAATAGTAGAAACGTTGGTATCCCAGTAGGTCTAAAGTATTGGAGTATGGTGGTGCTGATCACAGTTGATCAGTGTGCAGGCAGTGGGAGTAGGACGGGTCTGTAGGCAGTGGGAGTAGGACGGGTCAGCAGGCAGTGGAAGTAGGATGGGTCAGCAGGCAATGGGAGTAGGGATGGGTCAGCAGGCAGTGGAAGTAGGACGGGTCAGCAGGCAGTGGAAGTAGGACGGGTCAGCAGACAGTGGAAGTAGGATGGGTCAGCAGGCAGTGGAAGTAGGATGGGTCAGCAGGCAGTGGAAGTAGGACGGGTCAGCAGGCAGTGGGAGTAGGATGGGTCAGCAGGTGCAGTGGGAGTAGGACGGGCCAGAGGGTGCAGTGGGAGTAGGACGGGCCAGAGGGTGCAGTGGGAGTAGGACGGGCCAGAGGGTGCAGTGGGAGTAGGACGGGCCAGAGGGTGCAGTGGGAGTAGGACGGGCCAGAGGGTGCAGTGGGAGTAGGACGGGCCAGAGGGTGCAGTGGGAGTAGGATGGGCCAGAGGGTGCAGTGGGAGTAGGACGGGCCAGAGGGTGCAGTGGGAGTAGGACGGGCCAAAGGGTGCAGTGGGAGTAGGACGGGCCAGAGGGTGCAGTGGGAGTAGGACGGGCCAGAGGGTGCAGTGGGAGTAGGACGGGCCAGAGGGTGCAGTGGGAGTAGGACGGGCCAGAGGGTGCAGTGGGAGTAGGACGGGCCAGAGGGTGCAGTGGGAGTAGGACGGGTCAGAGGGTGCAGTGGGAGTAGGACGGGTCAGAGGAGAGCAGGGATCAGAGGCTGAGCTCTTTACAGGTGTCTGATCATCCACCCTGTTACTTAACAGGATAACTAAGACTTATCCCTGTGTTGTTTCTTTGCTTATCCAGGCTTAATGGCTGTGTGTTCACTCACTCATACACACACTCACATATATAAACACACACACAGCTGCTCTTCGGATGTCTGAAAGGATACATCGCCTTTGTTAACCCAGACAGGCCTTGTAATTCACAATAACAATGTTCTAAAGCACCTATTAATGTGGTCATTACTGTCCCATGAAGTTCCTCCAGACAAAATAATCTTTCTCTCTCTGACCTCTGTTTATGATCCCTGCGGTCACTATGGTAACCACAGGAGGGAAGGAATGTCTGAGATACGTCCCCATGCAGCTCAGAGAGAAAGGCCAGAGAAAGAGGCCTAGACGGATATTCCACCCATAGGCCTCGCTGCCAAAGCGAGCACAGCGAACAGAGGGGTTGTGGGAACATCAGACAGAGGGGAAGGGGTCAGACACAGCGAGCAAGGGACAGTCACAGAGCGAGCGGGAGCGAGTGAGTCATAGAGATTGTGAGGGGGAGTCAGAGAGATTGTGAGGGGCAGTCAGAGAGATTGTGAGGGGGAGTCAGAGAGAAAGTGAAGCGAGTTGAAATGTTAGGCAGAATGATAAGGCACAAGGTCATGCACTGTCTGCGGCCCCTGACCTCGTATACAAGCGCCAAGCCCCCTGTTAGTCAGCCAGGCCACAACATGGCTGAAACAAGACTAGTGGATGGAAACATGGCGAGGCAATATAACAGGCCAAAAACGCCTCATTAGCTTACACTGCTATCTTTCTCTTTTGGTTTTCGCTCAGCTTGGCTTGAATCTCTCTCTCTCTGCCTCTGCCTCTGATTCAGGAAAGGAGTAGAGAAACAAGCCATTATTTTTGTCGGGAAGCGTTGCATATCTGTTCGTAAAAGGGTGTGCAGTGCCGTTATCGCTTGGCTGAAATGGATAGTGAGGAGTTTCTCTTGCTCAGCTGTATTCCGCAGCACAGCGGAGGGAGGGGAAGCGTGTTTGGCTAGTGGTGCAGTTTCTCCCACTCCTTACCTCCTGGCTATTTATCTCCTGCTTTATCTGGGTTTCAGCAAGGAACGGAGGACAGCTAGGTCACCGCTACTGTAGCCTCTGTCTTCTCCCCCAAGTGTGTGTGCACCCGCACTCTAGTCACACACGTTTGATGCTGTGTGGCGGGGCAGAGCTGTGAACATCACTTGGTTTAGAATTTATTACAGTTTACACCATGTAGCCAGCTCACTGTAGCTCTCTCTCCCCTCCCTCCTCCTCCCAGGCGGCGGCTGACTTTGCCAAGGCCCATCTGTCGGAGGCGTTGCGTCAGCAGCTCCTGAGCTACGACCGGGAGAAAGAGAAGGAGAAGGATGAGAAGAATGAGAGCAGCGATGGTCGGTCCTATCCCTCCATTCTGGAGCAGCAGATCCTGGCTCTGGACAGGGACATGCTGGACAAGCTGTCAGCTGTCTACAACGAAGCAGGTCAGAGGGCAGGGCAGCCAGGGGTTAAAGGTCACAGCCACACATCTGTGGGCAGACATTTGCCTCTAGCGACTAATCTAGCAACAATTTATACCTTAATCCTGAATTTAACAATTTTTACAAATAACTTCCCATGCCTACAAAACAATGAATAGGCTAGAATGTGTAGAACTGACTTCACTGTTAGTTGGATGCATCAGTCTCGAGATCCGTGTTGTACAGCGACCACAATTCTTTGTTTTGGATTGATTGCACTAATTTCTGCATGCTCAAACAGTATTGTCTGAAAAATGCACAAATTACGGCTATGGTTTGTTTGGGGACAGAGCAGAGAGTTTGTTGAAATAGCTGTGGTGTTTTTGACAGTGAGCGCTAGTGGAAATTAAGCCTGTATAAATAGCTGTGGTCCAAGGGTGTGTGAGTGCGTATGTGTGTACATGCATTTGTGTGTGTGCATGCATGCACATAAGTGTATGCATGAGTTTGTTTTGTGTACATGAGTGGGGTAGGTTAGGGGCAGACATGCATTTCTCTTGGACTCTTATAAGGAAGGAGCCCATTACTAGTGTGATGTTTGCTCACATTGGTTTGCCCATTCCTACACTTGTTGTTTTTCTAGGAGCCCTTGCTGCTTGGTAGGTATTTCTGACTTTGCTGTACTATGTTGTTCACGGTCGTTTACAGAGGGCTCAGGCTCCGGCCGTGCTGCTTGTTCAGCCATTAAAATATAGCTTTATCTTCATCAGACATGTAGCAATTACCAGAGAGAAAAGAGGGAGAGAAAAGAGGTAGAGAAAGGAAGAGAGAAAGAAAGTGCCCAAACCAACTCCTCAGCTGCCTCTCCTCAAGGTGGCTTGACAGTGTTTTCAGAAAGTATTCATACCCCTAGACGTATTCCACATTATGTTGTGTTATAGCCTGAATTCAAAACCGATTAAATTGATTTTTTTTCTCACCTATCTACACACAATATGCCATAATGTGAAAGAGAGAACATGTTTTTAGAAATGAAATGCAGAAATCTCATTTATATACAGTTGAAGTCGGAGGTTTACATACACCTTGGCCAAATACATTTAAACTCAGTTTTTCACAATTCCTGACATTTAATCCTAGTAAAAATTCCCTGTCTTAGGTCAGTTAGGATCACCACTTTATTTTAAGAATGTGAAATGTCAGAATAATAGTAGAGAGAATGATTTATTTCAGCTTTTATTTCTTTCATCACATTCCCAGTGGTCAGAAGTTTACATACACTCAATTAGTATTTGGTAGCATTGCCTTTAAATTGTTTAACTTGGGTCAAACGTTTCGGGTAGACTTCCACAAGCTTCCCACAATAAGTTGGGTGAATTTTGGCCTATTCCTCCTGACAGAGCTAGTGTAACTGAGTCAGGTTTGTAGGCCTCCTTGCTCAAACACGCTTTTTCAGTTCTGCCCACACATTTTCTATAGGATTGAGGTCAGGGCTTTGTGATGGCCACTCCATACCTTGACTTTGTTGTCCTTAAGCCATTTTGCCACAACTTTGGAAGTATGCTTGGGGTCATTGTCCATTTGGAAGGCCCATTTGCGACCAAGTTTTAACTTCCTAACTGATGTCTTGAGATGTTGCTTCAATATATCCACATAATTTTCCTTCCTCATGATGCCATCTATTTTGTGAAGTGCACCAGTCCCTCCTGCAGCAAAGCACCCCCACAGCATGATGCTGCCACCCCGTGCTTCACGGTTGGGATGGTGTTCTTCGGCTTGCAAGCCTTCCCCTTTTTCCTCCAAACATAACGATGGTCATTATGGGCAAACAGTTCTATTTTTGTTTCATCAGACCAGAGGACATTTCTCCAAAAATAACGATCTTTACCCATGTGCAGTTGCAAACCGTAGTCTGGCTTTTTTATGGTGGTTTTGGAGCAGTGGCTTCTTACTTGCTGAGCGGCCTTTCAGGTTAAGTCGATATAGGACTTGTTTTACTGTGGATATAGATACTTGTGTACCTGTTTCCTCCAGCATCTTCACAAGGTCCTTTGCTGTTCTTCTGGGATTGATTTGCACTTTTCGCACCAAAGTACGTTCATCTCTAGGAGACAGAACGCGTCTCCTTCCTGAGTGGTATGACGGCTGCGTGGTCCCTTGGTGTTTATACCTGCGTACTATTGTTTGTACAGATGAGCGTGGTACCTTCAGGTGTTTGGAAATTGTTCCCAAGGATGAACCAGACCTGTGTAAGTCTACAATTCTTTTTCTGAGGTCTTGGATGATTTCTTTTGATTTTCCAATTATGTCAAGCAAAGAGGCACTGAGTTTGAAGGTAGGCCTTGAAATACATCCACAGGTACACATCCAATTGACTCAAATTATGTCAATTAGCCTATCAGAAGCTTCTAAAGCCATGACATCATTTTCTGGAATTTTACAAGCTGTTTTAAGGCACAGTCAATTTAGTGTATGTAAACTTCTGACCCACTGGAATTGTGATACAGTGAATTATAAGTGAAATAAACGGTCTGTAAACAATTGTTGGAAAAATTACTTGTGTCATGCACAAAGTAGATGTCCTAAACGACTTGCCAAAACTATAGTTTGTTAACAAGACATTTGTGGAGTGGTTGAAAAACAAGTTTTAATGACTCCAACCTAAGTGTATGTAAACTTCTGACTTCAACTGTACGTATTCACAATACTTTGTAGAAGCACATTGGCAGCGATTACAGCTTTCTAGGTAAGTCTCTAAGCGCTTTCCACACCTGGATTGTGCAACATTTGTCCATTTATTGTTTTCAGAATTCATCATGCTCTGTCAAATTTGGTTGTTGATCATTGCTAGACAACCATTTTCAGGTCTTGCCATACATTTTCAAGTTGATTTAAGTCAGAACTATAACTCGGCCACTCAGCAACATTCACTGTCTTCTTTGTAAGCAACTCCAGTGTAGATTTGGCCTTGTTTTAGGTTATTGTCCTGCTGAAAGATGTATTCATCTCCCAGTTTCTGGTGGAAAGCAGACTGAATCCGGTTTTCCTCTAGGATTTTGCCCGTGCTTAGCTCCATTACGTTCCTTTTTTATCCTAAAAAACTCTCTAGTCCTTGCCAATGACAAGCATACCCATAACATGATGCAGCCACCACCATGCTTAGAAATATGAGGAGTGGTACTCAGTGATAAGTTGTGTTGAATGTGCTTCAAACAACGCTTTGTATTCAGAACAGTAAGTTCATTTCTTTGCCACATTTTTTGCAGTTTTACTTTAATACCTTGTTGCAAACAGGATGCATGTTTTGGCATATTTTTATTATGAACAGGCTTCCTTCTTTTCACTCTGTCAATTAGGTTAGTATTGTGGAGTAACTAAACTCAGCAAAAAAAGAAACGTCCCTTTTTCAGGGCCCTGTCTTTCAAAGATAATTAATAAAAATCCAAATAACTTCACAGATCTTCATTGTAAAGGGTTTAAACACTGTTTCCCATGCTTGTTCAATGAACCATAAACAATTAATGAACATGCACCTGTGGAATGGTTGTTAAGACACTAACAGCTTACAGACGGTAGGCAATTAAGGTCACAGTTATGAAAACTTAGGACACTGAAGAGGCCTTTCTACTGACTCTGAAAAACACCAAATGAAAGATGCCCAGGGTCCCTGCTCATCTGCGTGAACGTGCCTTGGGCATGCTGTAAGGAGGCATGAGGACTGCAGACGTGGCCAGGGCAATAAATTGCAATGTCCGTACTGTGAGACGCCTAAGACAGCGCTACAGGGAGATAGGACGGACAGCTGATCGTCCTTGCAGTGGCAGACCACGTGTAACAACACCTGCACAGGATCGGTACATCCGAACATCACACCTGCGGGACAGGTACAGGACGGCAACAACAACTGCCCGAGTTACACGAGGAACGCACAATACCTCCATCAGTGCTCAGACTGTCCGCAATAGGCTGAGAGAGGCTGGACTGAGGGCTTGTAGGCCTGTTGTAAGGCAGGTCCCCACAGACATCAACAGCAACAACGTCGCCTATGGGCACAAACCCACTGTCTCTGGACCAGACAGGACTGGCAAAAAGTGCTCTTCACTGACGAGTCGCGGTTTTGTCTCACCAGGGGTGATGGTCGGATTCGCGTTTATCGTCGAAGGAATGAGCATTACACCGAGGCCTGTACTCTGGAGCGGGATCGATTTGGAGGTGGAGGGTCCGTCATGGTCTGGGGCGGTGTGTCACAGCATCATCGGACTGAGCTTGTTGTCATTGCAGGCAATCTCAATGCTGTGCGTTACAGGGAAGACATCCTCCTCCCTCATGTGGTACCCTTCCTGCAGGCTCATCCTGACATGACCCTCCACCACGACAATGCCACCAGCCATACTGCTCGTTCTGTGCGTGATTTCCTGCAAGACAGTAATGTCAGTGTTCTGCCATGGCCAGCGAAGAGCCCTGATCACAATCCCATTGAGCACGTCTGGGACCTGTGAGGGCTAGGGCCATTCCCCCCAGAAATGTCTGGGAACTTGCAGGTGCCTTGGTGGAAGAGTGGGCTAATGTCTCACACCAAGAACTGGCAAATCTGGTGCAGTCCATGAGGAGGAGATGTACTGCAGTACTTAATGCAGCTGGTGGCCACACAAGATACTGACTGTTACTTTTTATTTTGACCCCCCTTTGTTCGGGGACACATTATTCAATTTCTGTGGAACTTGTTCAGTTTATGTCTCAGTTGTTGAATCTTGTTATGTTCATACAAATATTTACACATGTTAAGTTTGCTAAAAATAAACGCAGTTGACAGTGAGAGGACGTTTCTTTTTTTGCTGAGTTTACAATGTTGTTGATCCATCCTCAGTTTTCTCCTATCACAACCATTAAACTCTGTAACTGTTTTAAAGTCACCATTGGCCTCATGGTGAAATCCCTGAGCGGTTTCCTTCCTCTCCGGCAACTGAGTTAGGAAGGACGCCTGTGTCTTTGTAGTGACTGGGTGTATTGATGCCCCATCTGAAGTGTAATTAATAACTTCACCATGCTCAAAGGGATATTCAATGTCTGCTTTTTATTTTATTTATTTTTTATATCTACCAATTGATGCCCTTCTTTGCGAGGCATTGGAAAACCTCCCAGGTCTTTGTGGTTGAATCTGTTTGAAATTCACTGCGGGACCTAACAGATAATTGTATGTGTAGGGTACAGAGATGAGGTAGTCAATCAAAAATCATGTTAAACGCTATTATTGCACACAGAGTGAGTCCATGCAACTTATTAAGCAAATTGTGTTCCTGGACTTATTTAGGTTTGCTATAAAAGGGGTTGAATACGTACTGACTCAAGACATTTCAGCTTTTTGTTTTTAAATAATTTGTAAAAATGTTTAAAAACATATTTCAACTTTGACATTATTGTGTATTGTGTGTAGGCCAGTGACAAGAAATCTCAATTTAATCCATTTTAAAATCAGGCTGTAACACAACAAAATGTGGAAAAAGTCAAGGGGTGTGCATTCGGGAAGTATTCAGACCCCTTCACTTTTTCTACATTTTGTTACGTTACAGCCTTATTCTAAAATGGATTAAATTACTTTATTTACTCATCAATCTACACACAATACCCCATAATGACAAAGCGAAAACAGGTTTTTAGAAATGTTTGAAAATGTATTACAAATAAAAACGTATTTACATAAGTATTCAGACCCCTTGCTATGAGACTCGAAATTGAGCTCGGGTGCATTCTGTTTCCATTGATCATCCTTGATGTTTCTACAACTTGATTTGGAGTCCACCTGTGGTAAATTCAATTGATTGGACATGATTTGGAAAGGCACACACCTGTCTATAGAAGGTCCCACAGTTGACAGTGCATGTCAGAGCAAAAACCAAGCCATGAGGTTGAAGGAATTGGCCGTAGACCTCCGAGACAGGATTGTGTCGAGGCACATATCTGGGGAAGGGTACCAAATAATTTCTGCAGGGACTGGAAAACTAGTCAGGATCAAGACAAAGATGAACGGAGCAAAGTACAGAGAGGTCCTTGACGAAAACCTGCTCCAGAGCTCTCAGGATCTCAGACTGAGCCGAAGGTTCACCTTCCAACAGGACAACGACCCTAAGCACACAGCCAAGACAACGCAGGAGTGGCTTCGGGACAAGTCTCTGAATGTCCTTGAGTGGCCCAGCCAGAGCCCGGACTTGAACCTGATCAAACATCTCGGGAGAAACCTGAGAATAGCTGTGCAACAACGTTCCCAATCCAACATGACAGAGCTTGACAGGATCTGCAGAGAAGAATGGGAGAAACTCCCCAAATACAGGTGTGCCAAGCTTGTAGCGTCATACCCAAGAAGACTTGAGGCTATAACCGCTGCCAAAGGTGCTTCAACAAAGTACTGGGTAAAGGGTCTGAATACTTATGTAAATATGATATTTCAGTTTTTTATTTTTAATACATTTGCAAAAAAATATAACCTGTTTTTGCTTTGTCATTATGGGGTATTGTGTGTAGATTGATGAGGGACAAAAACAATTTCATCCATTTTAGAATAAGGCTGTAACGTAACAGTGAAAAAAGTGAAGGGGTCTGAATACTAGAGGGTATAGAGTTACATGATAAGGGGAATGGAAAGGGGAAGGACAAAAGAGAGAACAAAGGGTTGGACAGAGAGACAAAGGGCCAGTGTATGGAATGGAGAGAGAAAGAGAGGAGGGTGGGGGAGAGCGAAAAGAGTGTAAGCCAAGGGACAGAAATAAGGAAGGAGACAGTGATAAAGAGATGACAGAAGGTGATACTGAAAGGGGAAGAGTCCTGAACTCATAGAGAGAGAGAGATGGAGTGCCATCCATCTTCACCTCCACCCACACTCATTTAGCACCCACAGGACTAAAGACTTGGGGGGGAGAGAAAGCGAGGGGGAGAGTAGTTGTCACAACAGATGCAATGATGGTTTATTCAGAATGTAGGGAAGAGAAAAGAGAGCTAAAATATTCATGATAAGCCGGCGGTAAAGACTCGCTTCACACACTGCGATTTCAGGAATGCAGTACACGGAATGTCTCTGCCTCTCTCCGGGTATTCCTTATCCTGACATAACTTAATGTTCAGAGTGGGAGGTGGAGAAGGAGGGAAAGAGTCCAAGAGAGGAAGAGAACAAACTAGTGAGAGAGATCGAGAGGGAGGGTGTCTACGGAATATATTTATTTGCATATAACTTATTATTCTGAGAGGGAGGCAGGGGAGAGAGAGCGATGGAGTGTATTATCCTATAGAGTGTACAGAGCATTATAGCTAGTAGTTTATTCACAGCACAGAACCTCACATGTGACTCGGATGAGTGTGTAATTGAATGAGTGGCTGGTATGAAAGGGCCATTCAAGCTGTCAGGCTGTGTCAGTCACATTCTACTGGAGGTCATGTGACACCATGATTGTGAAAGTAGAATGGACCAGTGTTGAACCCGAGACCATACCAAGCTAACTCCCGGTCTGAGGGCGACAGTTGACTTCAAATTGTATTTGTCACATGCGCCGAATACAACAGGTGTAGACCTTACAGTGAAATGCTTACTTACAAGCCCTTAACCAACAATGCAGTTTCAAGAAAAATAAGTGTTAAGTAAAAAATAAATAACAAATCATTAAAGAGCAGCAGTAAAATAACAGTAGCGAGGCTATATACAGTGGGTACCGGTACCGAGTCAATGTGCGGGGGCACCGGTTAGTCCAGGTAGTTGAGGTATTTCATCCCCTGCTGATTTTGTACGTTTGCCCACTGACAAAGACATGATCAGTCTATCATTTTAATGGTAGGTTTATTTGAACAGTGAGAGACAGAATAACAACAACAAAAGTCCAGAAAAACGCATGTCAAAAATGTTATAAATTGATTTGCATTTTAATGAGGGAAATAAGTATTTGACCCCTCTGCAAAACATGACTTAGTACTTGGTGGCAAAACCCTTGTTGGCAATCACAGAGGTCAGACGTTTCTTGTAGTTGGCCACCAGGTTTGCACACATCTCAGGAGGGATTTTGTCCCACTCCTCTTTGCAGATCTTCTCCAAATCATTAAGGTTTCGAGGCAGACGTTTGGCAACTCGAACCTTCAGCTCCATCCACAGATTTTCTATGGGATTAAGGTCTGGAGACTGGCTAGGCCACTCCAGGACCTTAATGTGCTTCTTCTTGAGCCACTCCTTTGTTGCCTTGGCCGTGTGTTTTGGGTCATTGTCATGCTGGAATACCCATCCACGACCCATTTTCAATGCCCTGGCTGAGGGAAGGTGGTTCTCACCCAAGATTTGACGGTACATGGCCCCGTCCATCGTCCCTTTGATGCGGTGAAGTTGTCCTGTCCCCTTAGCAGAAAAACACCCTCAAAGCATAATGTTTCCACCTCCATGTTTGACGGTGGGGATGGTGTTCTTGGGGTCATAGGCAGCATTCCTCCTCCTCCAAATACGGCGAGTTGAGTTGATGCCAAAGAGCTCGATTTTGGTCTCATCTGACCACAACACTTTCACCCAGTTCTCCTCTGAATCATTCAGATGTTCATTGGCAAACTTCAGACGGGCCTGTATATGTGCTTTCTTGAGCAGGGGGACCTTGCGGGCGCTGCAGGATTTCAGTCCTTCACAGCGTAGTGTGTTACCAATTGTTTTCTTGGTGACTATGGTCCCAGCTGCCTTGAGATCATTGACAAGATCCTCCCGTGTAGTTCTGGGCTGATTCCTCACCGTTCTCATGATCATTGCAACTCCACGAGGTGAGATCTTGCATGGAGCCCCAGTCCGAGGGAGATTGACCGTTCTTTTGTGTTTCTTCCATTTGCGAATAATCGCACCAACTGTTGTCAGCTTCTCACCAAGCTGCTTGGCGATGGTCTTGTAGCCCATTCCAGCCTTGTGTAGGTCTACAATCTTGTCCCTGTCATCCTTGGAGAGCTCTTTGGTCTTGACCATAGTGGAGAGTTTGGAATCTGATTGATTGATTGCTTCTGTGGACAGGTGTCTTTTATACAGGTAACAAACTGAGATTAGGAGCACTCCCTTTAAGAGTGTGCTCCTAATCTCAGCTCGTTACCTGTATAAAAGACACCTGGGAGCCAGAAATCTTTCTGATTGAGAGGGGGTCAAGTACTTATTTCCCTCATTAAAATGCAAATCAATTTATAACATTTTTGACATGCGTTTTTCTGGATTTTGTTGTTGTGATTCTGTGTCTCACTGTTCAAATAAACCTACCATTAAAATAATAGACTGATCATTTCTTTGTCAGTGGGCAAACGTACAAAATCAGCAGGGGATCAAATACTTTTTTCCCTCACTGTACATGTAGGTAGAGTTAAAGTGACTGCATAGATAATAAACAGAGAGTATCAGCAGTGTAAAAGAGGGGGTGGGGTGGGGGGGACCACTCACCTCCCTTTTGACCTCCTACTCTCCGCAGCAATCATAGCTGCTGATGGAAATATATTGTGTGATATGCGTTAACCTCACAGAGTCTAGTGGAAAAGGCAAAACTAGCCTACCCACAAGTCCAATGATCTGGTCCCATCTTCCTTCTGCTCTCCCACCCCTCCATCCCTCATTTCCCTCCAAAGCAAGTTGACCTGTTGATTCCCAGACTGAGATATCAACTGTTCCCTCCTAGCCCCATTCTGTTCATTATCCTCCCATATTTCACTCATCCCTTTGTTTGGATGACAGTAAGAAGGATTAAGATTGATCCCAAAGATAATCTTACCGTAAAGCTACGCTACATAAAAGAAAGTCCTGCTTTTGTGTTGTTGCAAAGCATTAGTCAGCCATGTATTGAGTTGGCTCTGAGTTTTCTGCTCAACTGCCTCCCCGAATCTTGGGGCGGGGGGATCAGTTGGACTGGTAATTGTTTTTGATTGTTGTCCATGTATCTGATTCAGCGGGTAGATCATTTGGGGACTGAAGCTCTGAGCGTTTGTTATAATCAGGGCGAGTAGAGAGTCCCCAGGACAACCTCATATCAGATGTATCCCTCGCTCCTCTCATCCTTTCATCCATCCATTGTTTATCTGGGTACAATAGAAGGGAAAAGAGAAAGAAGTGAGTGAGAGGCCTCTGATGAAATGGCCAAGAGCTAAGTCTATTCAAACCGTCTTTTAATACAGTGAGTTATTTATTGAACCTTTCTGTGGCCTGGTATGTCCAACTACTCTTTTTATAGTCAGGACCTGGGGTTAGTAGGGAAAAGCTGATATCTAGACCAGATGGAGCACAGGATGTATGGGGAAGCAATTTCTTTTGGACTGGGTTGTAGATATTTTTGAGAAAGTGGGTAGACAATGGCATGGACATAGTCATGTGCAGGGACGGCCTGTTCAATAGGGCGATATGGGCGACGCACTGCCAAACGGGAAAAGGAAGGGATTTTTTTCTAATCAATTATATCACGGCAACAGTACTAGTTATCAGTGTTCTAATCTGATCTGACTGCCACTAAATATCAAATCAGGCTAAAGTCGTGCTTCAAATGGCCCCGCCCGTTTTTGGGGCGATTTCAGTCAGGTTGAAAATCGCCCAGAAGTCTCTCATAGCCTGTCATGTAAAATCTATTTTTTTCAAATTTCAAAGCTTTCAATACATTCTCTATGGGTGTCTGTGGGCTTGCACTTACGCGCTTTCGTCATACGTGACGTAACCATGAACGTAACTAAGAAAATAGCAGCTAGCAGCGTCTCTGTTGCGACCTGCAGTGTGGCGTTATTTTATGTTTTTAATTTGTAGACTTAGTTTACAAACATTCTGCCAACCATGGATTTTTACAGTGGTGGGTTTTGGACTGATCTTGTTGATCGTGTACATACCCGCTACGAACTGACTAAATAATGAAAACGCTGCTGGCAGCGGAATCCAATACAGCTGGGAGACTTGGCTGGATGACAGAGTCCCGGACAGAGAAGTGGAGCCGGCCGGCTTCACCCTGGTCAGAGCGGACCGCGATCCTGGTAAGAGAGCGACTCTGTACCCCCCGACATTGAACTGCTTTCTGTGTCACTGCGACCTTACTATCTGCCCCGTGAGTTCCCCCAATTGTTTGTTACCGTTGTGTACTGTTGATAATCACAAGTTTACTGGAGAACTGAGACCAAGTAGAGACTTTGGACAGGGTGGATATGGTATAATAAAGGCAGTTTATTCAGAGGTAAAGATATCTGGAATCGCGTGCACGGACCCGTTCGTCAAACTCTTAGGGAGCTATCTGAAGAGAGCCCCGAAAACATTGTGTGCAGACATTTTATACAATAAATGATGTAGGTTGAATCTAGTAGTTCTGATCTTCTGATTGGTCCTGATGAGTTGGGCGAGGTCCCCTCCACTGTTGCATTGGCTCTGAGTCGGGTTCTCTGTCTTCAAATGTTCAGCCTAAAGAGAGGGGATTTTTGTGTGTGTGTGTGTGTGTGTTTAACAGTGATGATGTGTGTGTGTGTGTGTGTTATCAGTGATGATGTGTGTGTGTGTGTGTGTGTGTGTGTGTGTGTGTGTGTGTGTGTGTGTGTCCTCAGAGCAAGAACTCGTGAGTTGGAAGAACTGAGAGACCTATGGCGTGGGTGTTGTCCTTGGCCACCTGCTGACAAGGCTGACAAGATAGGACTCTTTTGTCCATTGTTATAGGATAGGAACAGCATTGATTGAAAACAAACGCCCAACACAAAATGGGTCATGCACAAGATTTTAGTCAGACCAAGCTATAACATTATATATTTACTACGACAGTACATTCAACCAAAAGCTAATATAACAAAGGCATCAGAGATTATTTATAATCTGTCACAGAAACTGGAATCCATCTCCCCAGATCAGTCAATAAATGCTTCTGGTATTGACTTATATGCTGCCCCTGTCTTCATGTTGTTGCTGGACATATCTTTTTTAAAATGTGTGTAGGTCACCTAAATCATCAGAAAAATTGCCCCTCCTGAGAATTTTTTCAGGAGCCGCCACTGGTCATGTGCACACACTGAAGTAGGCTAATTTGAGAAGTTGACGTGCCCAGGCCATGACTAATGCTCAGCAAAAAGAGAGCGGAACCGGGTAGAGCCTAGCTAATTGAAGAAGAGAGTTGGCCTAGGTACAGTATGTAAGGTTAATTGAAGACGTGAACTAGCGCAGATATGCTAGGCTAATTGGAGAAGTCAACCTGTGTAGGTATCTTTGGCTAATTGAAGAAGTGAACTAGCGCAGGTATGGTAGGCTAATTGGAGAAGTCAACCTCTGTAGGTATCCTTGGCTAATTGAAGGAGTGAACTGGCTCAGGTATGCTAGGCTAATTTGGAGAGGTCAGTATATGTAGGTATGCTAGGTTTAATTGGAGTTGTGGATGTACACAGGGCAAAGTTTAGCTAATCAGAGAGTGGAATGTGTGTGCGAGGATGATGGTTTCATTGGAGAAGGAGAGGTGTGTGTGTGTGTGTGTGTGTGCGCGCGGCTCGGTGAAGCTAATTGCGGAAGGGTGCGCTTGCAGGGCAGTGCAGCCCATTTTCTCCATCACCACGGGAACCCGATAAAAGTAATTAGCTGGACGGCATGGCACAGAGAGGTGCCAGTTGTAGACCGGAGCAGGAGAGGATTAGACACACAGAGAGATGAAAAGATAGAATGGCTAACTTTTGTGTTCTCACTCCTATCTCCCACCTTCCCTTCTTGTTTCCACTTTCTCTCTACCCCACTTTCGCTCTGTCTGCCCCCATCCTCTCTTTCTCTCCTCTTGCCTCTCTCTGTTTTCTGTTTGTTTTGTCATTTTTCCCTTACCAAAAGCTATAAATTGGAATAATAAAATCACTGTCCTGCTGAGAAGTAATCTCATTTTCCCCTCGTTCTCTCCTCCTCCTCTTTCCCCTTTATTCACCATCTCGCGCTCTGTGTCTCTCACTCCCCCCATTTTTCTTTCTTCCCACATTATTTCTTGATCAGCTTCAGGCGGGTCGGTGCGTCTTTGCCTCTAAATGATTGAAGCGAATGAAAAAAAACATCACCAGGGAGCTGGACCTGTTTAATTTCCTCACTAAGCCCTGAAATGGTGGAGTATAACCCCATTCCTGCAATGGAAAATCACAATCACATCACAAGTGTAGACATGCAATGTAGGTGCAGGGTTGAAACTAAAAGCAGGTTCAGTTCATTAAATGAAATAGACCTCCCCTCACTCCCTCTCCCTGCCAGTCCCAAAGCCTCTCTCCTCCTTGGGGTGGTCCAGTCAGACATCCCCATCCCCCCTATGGCCTGTTCTGGGTTGTGTGGTGTGCAAACAGACAGATGGTCAAACAGACTGGTCTGTTTTCACTGCAGGGCTTCAGTCTCAGCCCAGAGACTGGGAAACCAAACAAAGAAGGGAAAGGGAGAAGAAAACCGACCAAAGAGGAGGAAGAAGAGGACAAGGTTTTGAAGTGCTGTTTTCAAAGGGCTGTGGCTGTGCATTGTTGGAGAGGGTTTGTTTGTGCAAGCAGACGCTATAGAGCATGTGTCAAAGTCATTCCACGGAGGGCCGAGTGTCTGCGAGTTTTCGCTCCTCCCTTGTCTTTGATTGTTGAACTAAGGTCACTGATTAGAGAGGAACTACCCTCACCTGGTTGGAATGTGGTTGACACCCCTGCTATAGAGTGTATTTGGCAGACTTTGACAATAGGATGTTCAAGTTCTGTTCTAGACTAACATGGGTGTATTTTGTTCCTTCTCCCCCACCCCCCAATACTCCCTCTCTCCTATCCTCCCTCTCTCCTATCCTCCCTCTCTTCTATCCTCCCTCTCTCAGGTACCACATGTCTGGTGGCCCTGCTGTCTGATAAAGAGTTGACAGTGGCGAACGTTGGCGACTCGCGCGGTGTCCTCTGTGACAAAGACGGCAACACCATCGCCCTGTCACATGATCACAAGCCCTACCAGCTCAAAGAACGCAAGAGGATCAAGAAGGCTGGTGAGCAAAAGGACATGCCTTAATAACTGGTTTAGGATCAGTTCTCTCCACCACTAGCCCTAATCTTAAACATTATAGATGAAACTTCACAACTATCCCTGGTTCAGCTGTTATATTGTTGCTATACTGAGGGGTAAACCAAGCCTCTGCCAAATGAAGATTTAAAAATATATAATCAGGAGCAGTATCCATGACTACTCCCACGACCTTGATCTCAGATGATTATCTTAACGTTTCCTTGATGACATCATAGCTTTATATAGATCACATAGATGGCGCCGGAGAAGATGGCTGCCTTTTTACAGCCCTCTAACCAATTGTACTATTATGTGTGTTTTTTCGCGTTATTTGTAATTTATTCTGTACATATTGTTTCTGCCATTGTCTCTTATAACCAAAAAGAGCTTCTGGATATCAGGACAGCGATTACTCACCTCGTATTGGACGAATATTTTTTCTTCAACGAGTCGGACGCGAAGGATATCCTACAGACACCCAACAAGGCCCAAATCCCTGTTATTCACAGCAGAAAGAGACAGAGATATCGTGGACGTAGGTCGGGGTGCCTTGTAAGGATCCGACGGCGAGCGAGTAAACTGCCTCTTCCATCAATCCTATTAGCCAATGTTCAATCATTTGAAAATAAATTAGACGACCTACGATTTACGGTTATCCTACCAACGGGACATTCAAAACTGTAATATCTTGTGTTTCACCGAGTCGTGGCTAAACGACGACATGGACAACATACAGCTGACGGGATATACGCTACATCGGCAGGATAGAACGGCTGACTCCGGTAAGACAAGGGGTGGCGGTCTGTGTATATTTGTAAACAACAGCTGGTGCACAAAATCAAATACTAAGGAAGTCTTGAGGTTTTGCTCGCCTGAGGGTAGAGTATCTTATGATAAGCTGTAGACCACACTATTTACCAAGAGTTTTCATCTATATTTTTCCACCACAAACCAATGCTGGCATTAAGATTGCACTCAACGAGCTGTATAAGGCCATAAGTAAACAGGAAAACGCTCATCCAGAGGCAGTGCTCCTAGTGGCTGGGGACTTTAATGTGCAACCAGAGGAAAATAAACTCTAGACCACCTTTACTCCACACACAGAGATGCATACAAAGCTCTCCCTCGCCCTCCATTTGGCAAATCTGACCATAACTCTATCCTCCTGATTCCTGCTTATAAGCAAAAACTAAAGCAGGAAGCACCAGTGACTCGGTTAATAAAAAAGTGGTCAGATAACGCAGATGCTAAGCTACAGGACTGTTTTGCTAGCACAGACTGGAACATGTTCCGGGATTCTTCATATAGCATTGAGGAGTACACCACATCAGTCACTGGCTTCATCAATAAGTGCATCGATGACGTCGTCCCCACAGTGACCGTACGTACCCCAACCAGAAGCCATGGATTACAGGCAACATCCGCACTGAGCTAAAGGGTAGAGCTGCCGCTTTCAAGGAGCGGGACTCTAACCCGGACGCTTATAAGAAATCCCACTATGCCCTCTGACGAACCATCAAACAGGCAAAGAGTCAATACAGGACTAAGATTGAATCGTACTACACCGGCTCTGATGCTCGTCGAATGTGGCAGGGCTTGAAAACTATTACAGACTACAAAGGGAAGCACAGCCGCGAGCTGCCCAGTGACACAAGCCTACCAGACGAGCTAAACCACCTCTATGCTCGCTTTGAGGCAAGCAACACTGAAGCATGCATGAGAGCACCAGCTGTTCCGGATGACTATGTGATCACGCTCTCCGTAGCCGATGTGAGTAAGACTTTTAAGCAGGTCAACATTCACAAGGCCGCAGGGCCAGACGGATTACCAGGACGTGTACTCCGAGCATGTGCTGACCAACTGGCAAGCGTCTTCACTGACATTTTCAACATGTCCCTGACTGAGTCTGTAATACCAACATGTTTCAAGCAGACCACCATAGTCCCCGTGCCCAAGGACACTAAGATAACCTGCCTAAATGACTACTGACCCGTAGCACTGACGTCTGTAGCCATGAAGTGCTTTGAAAGGCTGGTCATGGCTCACATCAACACCATTATCCCAGAAACCCTAGACCCACTCCAATTTGCATACCGCCCCAACAGATCCACAGATGATGCAATCTCTATTGCACTCCTCACTGCCCTTTCCCACCTGGACAAGAGGAACACCTACGTGAGAATGCTATTCATTGACTACAGCTCAGCGTTCAACACCATAGTGCTCTCAAAGCTCATCACTAAGCTAAGGATCCTGGGACTAAACACCTCCCTCTGCAACTGGATCCTGGACTTCCTGACGGGCCACCCCCAGGTGGTAAGGGTAGGTAACAACACATCTGTCACGCTGATCCTCAACACGAGGGGCCCCTCAGGGCTGCGTGCTCAGTCCCCTCCTGTACTCCCTGTTCACCCATGACTGCATGGCCAGGCACGACTCCAACACCATTATTAAGTTTGCCGATGACACAACAGTGGTAGGCCTGATCACCGACAATGATGAGACAGCCTATAGGGAGGAAGTCAGAGACCTGGCCGTGTGGTGCCAGGATAACAACCTCTCCCTCAACGTGACCAAGACAAAGGAAATGATTGTGGACTACAGGGAAAAAAAGAGGACTGAGCACGCCCCCATTCTCATCGACGGGGTTGTAGTGGAACAGGTTGAGAGCTTCAAGTTCCTTGGTGTCCACATCACCAACGAACTATCATTGTCCAAACACACCAAGACAGTCGTGAAGAGGGCACGACAAAGCCTATTCCCCCTCAGGAGACTGAAAAGATTTGGCATGGGTCCTCAGATCCTCAAAAAGTTCTACAGCTGCACCATCGGGGGCATCCTGACTGGTTGCATCACTGCCTGGTATGGCAGCTGCTCGGCCTCCGACCGCAATGCACTACAGAGGGTAGTGCGTACGGCCCAGTACATCGCTGGGGCCAAGCTTCCTGCCATCCAGGACCTCTATACCAGGCGGTGTCAGAGGAAGGCCCTCAAAATTGTCAAAGACTCCAGCCACCCTAGTCATAGACTGTTCTCTCTGCTACCGCACGGCAAGCGATACTGGAGCGCCAAGTCTAGGTCCAAAAGGCTTCTCAACAGCTTCTACCCCCAAGCCATAAGACTCCTGAACAGCTAATCATGGCTACCCGGACTATTTGCACTGCCCCCCCACCCCCACCCCATCTTTTTACGCTGCTGCTACTCTGTTAATTATTTATGCATAGTCACTTTAACTCTACCCACATGTACATATTACCTCAACTACCTCAACTAGCCGGTGCCCCCGCACATTGACTCTGCACCGGTACCCCCCTGTATATAGCCTCCCTACTGTTATTTTATTTTACTTCTGCTCTTTTTTTCTCCACCCTTTTTTTTGTTGTTTTATTTTAGTTTTTTATTAAAAAATAAATGCATTGTTGGTTAAGGGCTGTAAGTAAGCATTTCACGGTAATGTCTACACCTGTTGTATTCGGCGCATGTGGCAAATAACATTTGATTTGATTTGATCAGGGGGGCCAGTGAGTGAGGAATGGAATGCACTCCTCAAGAAAGCCCCAAAAACGTGTACAGAGCCCATTGGCCTGTGATATAATTATCATTTTTATACTGTTTCATATTCTCCTTCATGTGAAAGTGATTTTGATGGAATTGAGCCTTTAGTCAAATGAGTAACAAATCAAGTAGGACACACTGCTGTTATTGGTGGCTGTCCATAGCTCACCATCGCCATCTACAGGTTGCTGTGGGTAGTGGAGCTGCAAATAAGTCATGACAGCGAAGGACACACAAACTGGGTAAGCTAGTTGGCTAGCAGTTTCTAGTAACTGACCTAAATAACTATGTGTAAGTGTAAAGTCAGTGGTCATAAGTTCACACCAGCTTCCATGACTGTTTACAACATATGCTCTGTCATTATGACAGTGTTATTATATAGCTATTATGTGGTCCTCTGTAGCTCAGCTGGTAGAGCACGGCGCTTGTAACGCCAAGGTAGTGGGTTCGATCCCCGGGACCACCCATACACAAAAATGTATGCACGCATGACTGTAAGTCGCTTTGGATAAAAGCGTCTGCTAAATGGCATATTATTATTATTATTATTATGCAGGGTTCAAGTTAAGGGTAACCCTGTGTTTCCCTCCCATTGAGTATGGCTTCCAAGTAAAGCCTTTTATCCAGTGCGTTACTCTGATTCCTTTTCATGGGTAATTCTCTGGTAATCTGGCTCGGTACTCTGGCAGTGGGAGAGAATACAAACACACAGACACACACACAGGCAGGGCTGCACAGACCTCTTGTGTATACTGTTTATTTTTCTGCTTTACCTTCAGTATGTGAACTGTGTCCAATATAAACTATTATGTCAGTGAAAGGATGTTAAACCAAAGAAAACACATTTGGTGCGCTGATCCATTTATTAATTTTTTTCACCCTTCACTTGAATGTCTTCATACTGTGGTTGATAAAGATTAATGGATCTGCTCATGGGTTTAGGAACACAAAATGTATTTTATCTCTTCATCCCGTCTGCTGTAACTAAAAGCCAAAGGTTTCTCTTTTCCTCTCTCTGTCATCCCTCTCTCTCCCATCCTCCCCCCTCTAGGTGGCTTCATCAGTTTCAACGGTTCGTGGCGTGTTCAGGGCATCCTGGCCATGTCTCGCTCGCTGGGCGACTACCCTCTGAAGAACCTGAATGTAGTCATCCCCGACCCTGACATTATGACCTTTGACCTAGATAAGCTGCAGCCAGAGTTTATGATCCTGGCGTCGGACGGGCTGTGGGACGCGTTCAGCAACGAGGAGGCCGTACGCTTCATCAAAGAGCGCCTCGACGAACCCCACTTTGGCGCCAAGAGCATCGTCCTGCAGTCTTTCTACCGCGGGTGCCCAGACAACATAACCGTCATGGTGGTCAAGTTCAAAGGTGCCGGTGGCAAGGCCGCAGAGCAGTAGACCTACTGATGCATCCAAAGGAGAGATCTATATTATATATGAATATATATGTATGTGTATGCATAGGTTTAAAAGAAAACAAGCCGGCAGTTTTTGGAGAGAGAACTGTTTGTATCGAAGAGATTTACAGAAATTAGCCATTCGCCACCATGATGCAAACACATACAAATTCACTCACACTCTCTAACAGTCACTTGTTTTGTTTTTTCTTCAATCCACATAACATATCATTAATATGTTTTTAGTTTTTTTAAAGCAGTCATATCCTCAAGGCCCTACACTGTGTCACTGTTTTGCATAAGAGGTACACCGAGATATCGACATAATTTGAAGACGAGACCGAGTTGCAGTGATTTGTACATATCTGCTGATAAAGGTTTTCTCAGAGGTCATCTGATTGGTGCTTACATACATCAGAGCACCTGTAACTGGATACCTGTTTGGTTAGCCAGAGGGGCTAAATAGTTTATGTTTTAAAGAGAGCTGAGACTAGACAAACTTAACTGTGTTCTCTTCTGTTTTGTCTAGCATGGCCTATTTCTTTGGCCAATCAAACAGACAATGTGACTGATTGGATTAAGATGGCATTAGGAGATACATGCTCTGGGGTCCTAATCAACAGACTGTTTTTGCCTTCATGAGTGTATCGTATCAAATCACATTCAGTTTGATGCTTCACTGTCACCCCTTGATTTCTAACATTGTTCTGTCATTCTAAACATTGGCCATCTTGTCTGTCAGCTCCATAGACATTAAAACCGGTCAGCTCCCTAGCTCCATGTTGATTTTTGACCTGCAGTGGAGTACCCCCAAATGACTGCACTGAGAATTGCAACTGTATTTTGAAGTTCAGAAGTTTATTGGTACTAAATATAATAGATTCCTTTCCTCATTCATGCAGACTACTAATGATGTCATCTATACCTGTCTGTCGACAACAGTCTGTGGTCGTCCCTCTGCCCAGAATGCATTTCTGTAACTCTAATCCCCTGTTAACCCTGATCTAGGAATGAGTGGCATTTTGACACTAGTTGCACAAATGTTTGCACCATGCTGTTATTAATAATTTTATGTCATTATTTTTGAATTAAGTATACAAATTAATTTTGACATGCGCATTGTGCTGTTTTAATACCCTACACGTCTTTATTCTGATCATTGGCAGCCGATTTGTCTTTCTGAAGTTGGGTTTAGTTCTATGGTCTCATGCTCCCTCTACATCAGGGTTCTCTGGGGTGGGAGAGTACATAGTAAAAAGACCATCCCTGTCACTGCCTGTCATATCGTACAGCTAACTTTTTAAGTTTTATTTCTGTAAACTGACAGACTCAAAACATAATATGAAGCCTTTGAATTCAATATTTACTTGTTGCCTTATTTCTTTTAAATATACATGTCCTCTCATGAATTTGTTGCCAAAACTAACTCCTTGGTTTGTAATGTTTGTTAAACATGCACATCGCATGTAGATATCATATCTCACGTGTAGAATACCATCACAAATGTCTCCATGAGACAAGGAAGTGTAACATGAATGTACATACTGTTCCCATGTTATCCTCCCCCTCCACACCTGCAATGAAGAAAGCAATGCACCAACTCTTTGGTTGATTAACAAAAGAGGTATTTACTAGATTAGTATGTTTATGCGCTTTTTCAGTTGTACATTCTTCCAAAATAATGTATGTTACAGAATGTTTATGTGGAGTTTGTATTCGTTTTTGTTGAATTTAAGAAACTGTGTAAAAACAGAAAGATCTGTGAATTTTAAGATGAAATCAAACAGATGATAACAATAAAAGGATTAAAGATGATAGCATTGTCTTTTTTGGTCTTTATTCATGGGAGAAATAACTGATGTTAAATTATATTTGATTGGTTTGAGAGAACTGCAAATACAGTATATTTCAATGACCATGCTTGATAGTGCTGGTGAGTGGCCTAAAGAAGCCTGATCATGCCACCTGTTGGTTTGTCAATAGCACTTGTTTTGTACGGTATTTTTGATTTGATTTTATACGGTAAATGGGATACATGGTGGTAGATGTTGACTGGGTAAATCCAGGTAACATTTTACATTAAGGTATACTTAAATTGATTTATAATGGGCTTTATACGTAGTTTATAAACATAATTGTTAGTTTGTTTTATAAATCTATAATAAACTGTTAATATAATAAACATTGTGAGATTTTTTCACATGTGCCCTGTTTTCAGCACTTCAAACTGCATTATCTATATTGAACAAAAATATAAACGCAGCAATTTCAAAGATTTTGCAAAGTTACAGTTCATGTAATGAAATCAGTCAATTGAAATAAATTCACTAGGCCCTAATCAATGGATTTCATAAGACTGGGCAGGGGTGCAGTTTTTCCCCAACAAAAGGGCTTTATTACAGACCTAAATATTCCTCTGCATACCCCCTCCCCCCTCTGACGATCCTGCAGGTGAAGAAGCCAGATGTGGAGGTCCTGGGCTGGCGTGGTTTCATGTGGTCTGCGGTTGTGAGACCGGTTGGACGTACTGCCAAATTATCTAAAATGACGTTGGAGGTGGCTGATGGTAGAGAAATTAACATTCAATTGGTGGACATTCCTGCAGTCAGCATGCCAATTGCACGCTCCCTCAAAATTTGAGACATCTGCGGCATTGTGTTGTGTGACAAAACTGCACATTTTAGAGTGGCCTTTTATTGTCCCCAGAACAAGGTGCACCTGTGTAATGGTCATGCTGTTTAATCGGCTTCTTGATATGCCACACCTGTCAGGTGGATGGATTATCTTTACAAAGGATAAAATACTCAGTAACAGGGATGTAAACAAATTTGTGCACAAAATTTGAGAGAAATAAGCTTTTTGTGCGAATGGAAAATGTCTGGGATCTTTTATTTCAGCTCATGAAACATGGGACCAGCACTTTACATGTTGCGTTTATATTTTTGTTCAGTGTAGATAAATGGGTGTAGCCTTAGCCTACAATATACAGTGAGGGAAAAAAGTATTTGATCCCCTGCTAATTTTGTACGTTTGCCCACTGACAAAGAAATGATCAGTCTATAATTTTAATGGTAGGTTTATTTGAACAGTGAGAGACAGAATAACAACAAAAGAATCCAGAAAAACGCATGTCAAAAATGTTATAAATTGATTTGCATTTTAATGAGGGAAATAAGTATTTGACCCCCTCTCAATCAGAAAGATTTCTGGCTCCCAGGTGTCTTTTAAACAGGTAACGAGCTGAGATTAGGAGCACACTCTTAAAGGGAGTGCTCCTAATCTCAGCTTGTTACCTATATAAAAGACACCTGTCCACAGAAGCAATCAATCAATCAGATTCCAAACTCTCCACCATGGCCAAGACCAAAGAGCTCTGCAAGGATGTCAGGGACAAGATTGTAGACCTACACAAGGCTGGAATGGGCTACAAGACCATCGCCAAGCAGCTTGGTGAGAAGCTGACAACAGTTGGTGCGATTATTCGCAAATGGAAGAAACACAAAAGAACTGTCAATCTCCCTCGGCCTGGGGCTCCATGCAAGATCTCACCTCGTGGAGTTGCAATGATCATGAGAACGGTGAGGAATCAGCCCAGAACTACACGGGAGGATCTTGTCAATGATCTCAAGGCAGCTTGGACCATAGTCACCAAGAAAACAATTGGTAACACACTACGCTGTGAAGGACTGAAATCCTGCAGCGCCCGCAAGGTCCACCTGCTCAAGAAAGCACATATACAGGCCTGTCTGAAGTTTTCCAATGAACATCTGAATGATTCAGAGGAGAACTGGGTGAAAGTGTTGTGGTCAGATGAGACCAAAATCGAGCTCTTTGGCATCAACTCAACTCGCCGTGTTTGGAGGAGGTGGAATGCTGCCTATGACCCCAAGAACACCATCCCCACCGTCAAACATGGAGGTGGAAACATTATGCTTTGGGGGTGTTTTTCTGCTAAGGGGACAGGACAACTTCACCGCATCAAAGGGACGATGGACGGCACCATGTACCATCAAATCTTGTGTGAGAACCTCCTTCCCTCAGCCAAGGCATTGAAAATGGGTCGTGGATGGGTATTCCAGCATGACAATGACCCAAAACACACGGCCAAGGCAACAAAGGAGTGGCTCAAGAAGAAGCACATTAAGGTCCTGGAGTGGCCTAGCCAGTCTCCAGACCTTAATCCCATAGAAAATCTGTGGATGGAGCTGAAGGTTTGAGTTGCCAAACGTCAGCCTCGAAACCTTAATGACTTGGAGAAGATCTGCAAAGAGGAGTGGGACAAAATCCCTCCTGAGATGTGTGCAAACCTGGTGGCCAACTACAAGAAACGTCTGACCTCTGTGATTGCCAACAAGGGTTTTGCCATCAAGTACTAAGTAATGTTTTGCAGAGGGGTCAAATACTTATTTCCCTCATTAAAATGCAAATCAATTGATAACATTTTTGACATGTGTTTTTCTGGATTTTTGTTGTTGTTATTCTGTCTCTCACTGTTCAAATAAAGCTACCATTAAAATTATAGACTGATCATGTCAGTGGGCAAACGTACAAAATCAACAGGGGATCAAATACTTTTTTCCCTCACTGTATATGATTTATACTGGTGATACTAATAATGACATTTATGTTTGAACAATAGACCGGCCTATTTATATGGTGGACTATGAAAGTTCTCATGCTATGCTGCCTGGAATCTACACCCTCAGCCGACATTCCCAAATGGTTGTGTTGTGACGATGTGCTGGTCTGGCATGTTGTGGCTTCAAATATGCAGTTGAAGTCTGAAGTTTACATACACCTTAGCCAAATACACTGCTCAAAAAAATAAAGGGAACACTTAAACAACACAATGTAACTCCAAGTCAATCACACTTCTGTGAAATCAAACTGTCCACTTAGGAAGCAACACTGATTGACAATACATTTCACATGCTGTTGTGCAAATGGAATAGACAACAGGTGGAAATTATAGGCAATTAGCAAGACACCCCCAATAAAGGA